CCCCAAAACCCCAAAACCCCAAAACCCCATCATGCTACAGTTTTATAAAGAAGGGAATTGAAATAATAAGCTCTAAAATTATTTAACCATCTTCTTTAGCTCCAGTGAGGTGATACAAATCCACATATTCTCACATATCTCCATCCATTCCCATTTCCTCAAGTAAACTAGCAAGGATATCTTCTTCTTTGGTACTTCTCTCTTCATCTAGATCTCCGAAGTCTCTCTTATCTTCCTTTGGTGGAAACTCAAGAGCCTTGACTGCATCATTGTGTAAGTCCATGCAAAACTTGATTCTCTTGTTGAGTATATTTTAAGGGTCGTTAGAGGTGTACACATCATTGATGTCTTAGGATCTCATCCACATGTTATCATGATCAACAATGGCATCAATAACACCATCTCTAATAGCCTTAGCCACAACTTGCTCAGTCTCGTCAACACTGTCAAGTCCAAGTTTCTGAGCAATGTCCTTAATGGAGATCTTAGAATAAGAGATGTTGATCTTCTTCAAACCAAACTTGATAACAGTGTGTCTGAGTCTCTAGATCAAGGTGAAGTTCTTGTCCTTTTCGAAGAGACCCTAATGTGATTGTAAAATTTTCTTGAAAGTCTCCATATCTCCTGATTTGACAGAGGTGACTACCTGATAGTATGGGGCAAGTGATTTTTTGAAATCTGGGTGAGAAAAGATCTATCTGTTGGGGATCTCTCCCATTAGAAGCTCAGTAATAATCTGAAGCTTTTAAACTTGAGTTCTAAAGCCAATGGCACCAACTTCTGGACCCTTTCTAAGTGCTTAAATAAGTCTTGCTTGAGCCTCTGAATATTCAAGCTGAACAGCCTTAATTCTCCCTAGATAGTAGAGATATCTCGCATTTTAGTTATTTGAAGCTGATTCTGGGAAAGAAGTTTTTACAATGAAATTTCTAGCTTGTTCATAGAGATTTTGAGATAAGTATGATCTTAGGATGATATTAGTAATAGTAGCTTGACCGATTTAGTCAGATCTAAGACATGCTGTTTTGTATGCTTCAAACATAACTGGTCTGATTTGATGAAGACTCTTGAGTTTTTCATAGATGACTGAGTAAAGGTATAAGGACTTAGCAGCCAAGTGGTCAAGAGTTCTCAAGCTTACATTCTTCAATCTGAGGTAGACGAAATCACCGAATTATTTAGCCTATATGGAGTTATTTCTAAAGATAAAAAGATACATTATTAAGATCTCCATCGTCAATTAGCTTCATGAGTAGCAAATTATACAGGAATAATTATGTCTCAGCATGCTACATGATCTCTAATGCTCTTTGGTTAGTGCATTGCAATTTAGTCTCTGCTGATTCTGTGATTGGAGTTGGTTGGCAAGGTAATTAAAGTCTTTAGAATAGATCTGGAATGTAGTGTTTCAGAATAAGAACGGTATCTGAAAGATTAAGGAGCTTTCTGAGCTTTTTAAATTATTTGGTTAATGAGGCGGCTAACTTATAGTCCTTATCCTTCGCTGCCTTTTCCAAGAGTACCATCACTTTCTTGAATTCTATAATGATTAGGTTATATTGAGATTTATTTACCAAAGAATGGGTCAGCTACCTCTGGAACTTTTTTATCTTCAACTTTCTTTGAGGCATCATCGTCCTTCATTTCTACGTCTTTCTTTTGATTCTCAGACATCTTATTTTAAACTTTCAAATTAATTTTAATATTTTGTGAATTTACTTGTTAAAAATCACTGATCATATTAAAAATTATTAGAAAATTAAGCTAGAAATGGAGTCATCAGATATGAGAAAAGGGAGTGGAATTCTCAAGAACAATATAGATTAATAACAAGTCCTTTAGTAGCATTAATCAGACAGAGTGAAGTTTGACGAAGAAATTATAGCAGAGCATGACAAATCAAGAGGCACTAGATAAAAGATAGATGAACCAAAGACTCCCTATGAGAATGCTTAAGAGGAAGAACTCAACCAGGATGATGATGTCTACATGCAGGAAGATATCTAGATGAATGAAACTACCTAGGCTAACTCTGGTTAGGATAGTAGTCAATAAACTATTGAAGAGGAGGTAAAAAAACATTTGGAAGAGGCAGAGAGAAATAAACAGTTGAATGCCTAATTGCAAAAAGAGTAGAATACAGTAAATGTGTAGAAAGAAATTGCTCATTAAGAATTAGTTCAAAAGTTATAATAATCTCAGTAAGAAGTTGATGATGAGGAAAAAAGTAAGTTTATTATTGAAGTCAAAATGCTAATAACTGATTCATTTTTTATAGAGCATTAAGAGTTTTTGAAGAAGAGAAAAGAACATTACAAGAATGAGATGAAAGCAGCCTAGTTACTTAAAAGATAGAGTATGGAGGAAGATGAAGATGAAGATCAGTGACAAATATAATGTTGATAAGGATTCATACATAATTAAAGTTATGGAGCATACTTAAGTTTTGAATGTGTGAGTGTGATATGGTCATTCATTTTAGTAGTAATATTAAGCTGTATTCATTTTCAAACTATTGATTGATTACTCATCTTATTAGATGAGAATGCCTATTCAATTCAGTGTGTGACAAGGCATACTGCCTCATGCATGAATCTCTTTGATATCATTGGGGTGACGAATTCCCATTCATCAGTCATTGTATTATATCTTTCCACCAAATCTAAAGAATTTCCATTGAATCCTCCCAAAGCATAAATGAATTAGCAATCACTACTGACAACCGCTGAGAGGGTGCATCTACTTGTATTCATGCTCTTTACAGGAATCCATTGCTACTTTTACAAATCAAACCTAATGTTAGAAAATTAAGAATTTTAAGAAACTTACTTTTCAACTGAGGAGAGATACTACTTGCCATCATAGCCACCTATTGCATATATTCCATCAGGCAGAGCTACAGCTGCAAGGGCTCTTCTCGCCTCATTCATCTCTGGCAGCATTTCCCATTAGCCGGTGTTAAAGTCAAATCTCTCTGCTGTTCTCAAACAGTTAGAAGATTAACTCTTGCTATTACTTCCGTTTTTATCTTATTAGTTGTCATCTTATTAATTTCCAGAGTAGTTAGGGGTGCCACCTCCATATCCACCAATTGCGTATATTTTTCCATCAGGACCAAGGGCTACAGCAAGCTCATCTCTCTTTTAAATCATTTCGGGCCAGCGAGACCATTTGCCTTTCTTCAGATCCAAGCAATCGAATTTCTTCAACACGCTTCCACTGTTGCCACCACAGAAGAATATTTTGCCTTCTTCTCTCTTAACGCATGATGAAAATCCTGACTTTGCTTTTGGAAGCTTAAAGGGTAAGATCTTGAATTTATTAGTCTTTAAGTTATACTCTTCAATATCGCCTGTTCTTGAGCCATCAGCTTATTTTCCACCAAATATCAAGATCCTTGATTTTGATATAGGGACAGCTGAGAATTTAGTTCTAGCTTTACTTATCTAAGATATTTCCTTCCAAGTTCCTCTTTAAATATCTAGAGCTTCACAAGTAAGTAACTTTGAATCATTGAATCCAGAAAATACGAAGATGAATTCCTCTTTTACTCTGCATAAGGCTCTAAATGGATCACTGACACTCGTATCAACTGAAACACTCTGCTGAAGGTAACTCTCTCCACCAACTAGATTGAATGGCTGATTCTTTAATTCTAATGAATTATCCTAATTCTTAATGACTTTAGTCATGAGGTTATCTAGGCTCTCTGTTGATTTCATTACTTGCTATCTATTAGGAGAACTATTATAAGATTACTCACTGTTTGAGTGATGAATGTTTTTAGCATGCTTAAATGGGGATAAATCTTTTTGATTAGTAGCATTTGGAATATTTTTAGAAAGATTGCCTTCTTATTCTTCATTTTCTCTAATAAGATCTCTTTCATCAGGACTTAAAACTCTCATTTATTATTGTTCCTCCTCGTCTTTCTTAGTAAGATCTACTAAGCACACAGCAGCCTTAGATGAATTAATAGATTGTAGTTTTACTGGTGAATCTTGATGACTGTTGGATTACTGAAGATTTTACCTTCTAGAGATTGGCTTAAAATTCATGGAATCTATATTCTTTGTGCATTAGCTCAGCATGTCAAGAATTTGGTTTTTATCAAAATCCTTTGATCTTGAAGTTTCAGCTTTGAAAGGTGATTGCTCATTAGAAAACACTTCATTCATTTTCTGCTGTTTTCTTTTAGCTCTCTCTTGAGATAAGCTTTGAAGCTAATGGGCATTATTGTTATTGCCGTATTAGAAATTCTCTACTGAACATGCGATTAAATTTAGCTTTTAGACTTCTTAATCATCGTACTGATTCATAAAGGCTAAACTGCCTTTTTAACCAGATGGACTTTCACTGTTGATATTTGCATTATTATTATTGCTGCTGTATCTATGTAAGCTGCTATTTCTTTTATTTCCTTTCTTTTCTTCCTGAACTCTAAGCAGAGAATTGCCATCTGTATTGCACTAATTCACATTAATAAGCCTATTTTTATTCAGCTTAAAATCTTCTAGGTCTGTTGTGCTGTTATCTTTTTTCATAGATTTCTTGCCAGATTTATTTTGTTTGTTTATGTTATTATTTTATGCTTTCCAAGGGTTGTTCTTTCTTTGCTTAGGACTTTCCACTTAACTCTTTATCTATTTTAGCTTATTATCTTAAACAGGTGGAGAAATTATATCCTACTACGAACCCCCAGTTTCCGAGGCTGTCGAGTTACCTTACTTTTCAATTTCATTTGAGTTAATCTCATGATTAGCACTTTTATTAAGACTTTCAAGAATGTTTTCCAAGGCACCTACAGATTCATCCCTCTTTAATCCAGTTCTTTGCGTGTTTTGATTATCTTAATACTGGTAGTACATATCATTTGTTTCTAATGGATAAATGCTTGAGACATCATCACCTCCAAGATTTCCTAGGCCATCTTAGCACATATCATCTGCCTGATTGCCCATATTTTGGTTCATCAGGTACTATTAGTTATACTAGTTATAGTTATAGAGATTTATTTGATTTGGATTAGTCAAATGATTATTGAAGCTTCCTTGATTCTTTGGCAAAGGTTTGTTGAATTATTGTTACTACTATACTTAAGGTTTTTACTTATTTTAATCTAAGACAGTCACTCCTTGCTTCTTATTTGGCTAGTAAAGTTAAGTTTATTGCTTCATTGGAATTCTGTTAGGGCTTACTTTAGATTTTGTTGGATTGTTACTAGGATTAGATTTTTAGCAAGTTCTTTTTATTTCATCTTTTTATTTATCAGAATTTTATGTAATCAATACAGGATTGAATTGGGGTTGAGGCATTAAACCATTTAAGTTATTGCTAATTGTGCTTTAAACTTAAGTACCAGCTTTTTTGATTTTATTGGCTGTTGACATAGTATGCTAATATAAATTTGATTAAGCTTACCCCAAAGTTTGGCCAATAGCTGGGCCTTTGTAAGTGGGATTTAGAATTTTGCTTATTTAAGTTAATTCTTGATCTCTTTTGATTTCATTCAATGATTAGCATGCCTAGGAAAGATTTACTAAGTTAAATGCAATAATCTCCCTAGATTTAGTTCCATTAACTTCACCCGATATTAATGTTCTTTATTTTGCCTTTTAAAGTATTTCTATTTCCGATTCTTGATTCTGCTATAATAATTCTGCTTTCAAAAGATTTATGGTGCTTATGAAGTCAGTGATTTCGCTGGACTTCTGTTCACTCTCCTACTCTTCTCTAGTAAGATTTTCACTTATCTATCTTTTCAATGTTTGTTCTCTTTCTAACAGAAGCTCTCTCACGTAACTGTAAATTGAGGAAAGTTCTTTTCGATTCTTCTCTGCTTGCTGATGCATTTCTCCTACATGTCTTTTTATGTCATTTTATATGAATTTGAGTTTTTCCTCAGTTTTTTATGCATTTGTAACTTCATCATAAAGTTATTGCCTTTATTTTTCAGCAGCTTTTTAGACACTAATAATTTCATGTGATTTATGCTGATCTGAAAGTATACAGTCTATGCAAAGCACTTGCAAGTCTTTCTCGCAAAATGCCTCAAGTTTTTTATTATGCAAATTGCATAAAGCTTTAGGCGGCTCTTATTGTTAATTTTACTATTGCTACTATGATTATCTGAACAAAGATTCTTATCTGTTTTTATCTGAGTTTGAAGTTTCCTTTTTGCTCTGACTTGGCTGTATTTGACTATTATTGGTGCTATTATTTTAAGTATTGATTTGGCTTTAAGCTTGGACCTGCAGAAGAACAAGATTTTTGGGGAATGAATTGATTCCATCCGCTGCAATGTTTAGAGTGCTGCATTCAGGGCATTCAAGCTATTATTTATTGGCTGGATTGTCATCCGAGTAGCTCAGTAGTTATTCAATGCAATTATGACAGAAAGTATGGCCACAAAAGATGAGTATTCTAGGTATATTCGTTGTCGAATTGAATTCAACTTGGCAGTTTGGGCACAACATTTTACAATCACTTCTTTATTAATTTAATTTTAATACGTTAAATAATCATGAAGAGAGTTTGGAAGTATATGCATTCTTATTCTTCTTCTTGGGGTTTTGGGGTTTTGGGGTTTTGGGGTTTTGGGG